CAGCCATCGCTTATTTATCCAACAAATACTGATTAAGGACAGACCCTGCTCTAGGCTTCCCAGCTATGATGCCGAATGAGTTGGCCTGGACCTCTGCCCTTGTGGAATTTAACTTCTAGTTGACAGAGACAAATAAGAAGTAAATGAGGGTTTCCAGTAGTGAGAAAAGCATAGTAGTGTGACAGGTTAGGGAGCGACAAGCAATGTGGAAGGATGACTAAGAAGATGATTTCTGAGGGAATGACAGCTGGCTGGAGAATGGACTGGCATGAGGAAGCCGGCCACGTGGCTGCATGGCAGGTACATTCCAGTGCACAGGCCCTGGGGCAGGGACAGTGCTGGAGAACAGTGGTGAGGGGATTACAGTGCACACAGCCTGAGCTCCTCAAAGGGCTGGGACCAGCGAGACCACGTGGGGCCGATTTGGGATTTTACTCCAAATATAACAAGGGGCCGGGCTGGGGAGATGGCTCAGTGGGATAAGCGCTTGACTGGCAAATGTAAGGATCTGAGTTCAATCCCCGGTTCCGCCAAAAACAAACAAACAAAAAACAAGGGGCCACTGAAGTTGCTCAAAGAAGGGTCCTGGTATACACAGCCCACTGCCAAGTTCCCTTTTTCTTTTTTCTTTCTTTCTTTTTTTTTTTTTGGTGGTACCAGGGATTGAACTCAGGACCCTGTGCTTGCTGGGCAAGCACTTATTCTACTGAGCTATCTTCCCCAGCCCCCTTATCATTTCCTCTTTGAAAAGTTTCAGCTGCTCCTAGAAATGCCTCATTACTAGGCGACCCTCACCGTGTGATAGCAACCTGCCTCCCTGCTACTGTGGGCCAGCAGATCGCAGGCCGTGATGCGGGCCATAGGGGGTGGGCAGCGGCCCCCAGGCTCTACCCGAGCAGTGCTGCCGCTCTGCCCATCTGCCGGGTAATCTCTGTCAGGGTTCTTTGGAGGAGGTGAGAATGTCTCACTCACCTGCTCCCTAACCCTCTTGCCCCCAAGTTGGCAAACTGCAGCCACAGGAGCCTTGGGGGGGGGGGGCTTCTTCTTTCCGGTGCACACGTTCTCTGCTTGCCTACAAGGTGGGGCAAGGGTGAGGCTTCCTAACAGGAGGAAGCTTTTGCCTGGGAGCTCCCAGAAGCAGCCACACGCACTGGGACACCTTTGCAGGATACTAGCTGGCTCTCCTCAGCTGAAGTCATTTGGCAGCGGGTAAACACACAGGGCTGCAGACCAGCTTCCGCCTGGGGCCTTGGCCAAAGCTGGGGTCTGAGCATGAGCCTAGGAGTCCCCCTAGAGCTCCCAGGCTGTGGCCTGCTGAACAGGGTCCTTTCGTGGCCCTCAAAGCCCCCAGCCTGGCCTCCGATGCTGCTCCCCTGGCTCTGCAGGCCCAGCCACAGAAGCTTTCTGTCCCTCGCAGAGAGTGCAGCCGGCATGGACTCCCGCTCTGCAGTGCTCCCTAATCCATCTCATCATCTCTGCTCCTGGGCTGTGTAAACACCATTCCTTGACAAACATGATCCTGATCCCTCAGCTCCTTGTGGCCCCTGATGGCTTCTCTGCTCAGGGTCCTCAAGCAATCCTCCCTCTTAGCTCAGCCTGAGCGCAGTCTGAACCACGTTGGCAAGCAGCTTAGGGCTTTCAGTGCCCATGGCCTGCTGTGACACAGGTGCCACAGGCTCTCTGCCACAGATCTAGATGGTACATTCCTGCATGTGACTATCTGACTAATATCTCACCACCCCTTCCATAAAGGAAACAGTATCACCCATTTATAACCATTTTATGCCCCCAAGGGAGTACTGTGCCTGGGGTGCAGGGACTGCTGGGTAATCCCAAGAAATAAAGGCTGACTCCGCGGTGCGCAAGGAAAAGGGGACAGAGAGCAGAATCGTTCCTATCTTATGCTTTCCTAAATAGGCCTGGATGCTCTTCCTGATTGAGGGAACAATTTGCTCTTTAATTTTACTAGTTTGTCTATATGAACCATGTGAAATATTTTTAACGAACGCTCCATGTAGTGAGGTTTTTCTCATGTCTTAAATTTTCAAACCCACCGTTATGGTGTGTGTGTAGTTGTCCCCCCAAAGCCTCATGCTCTCACTGAGGCGCAGTTCTAGAGTTGTGATTAATTCACGATCCAAGGCTGGGGTTATGGGTCTGACTGTTGCTGGGCGTATGGGTGTGAGCACTACACCTAGCCTGGGGCAGATGGCCTGAATGTGACATAAGAGGGACAGGGGACAGTCTTGCTCTCCCTTGCCACTGGCGCCGTTACTCCTCCCTTGTGCTCTTGTGGTCTTACTGTCTACTGCTGCCATGGACTGCTGCCCTTTACCACATGCCACTCTGCCTTGGAGCCAGCTGCGTGTGGACTGAAACCTCCAGTAACTGTGAGTTCAATACACCTTTCCTCCCCTAATTCTGAGCATC